TTAGTTTTCCCTTGAAATCCGCAGTTTTAATTTCCATACTACCCTTGTAATAAATATTTGAACAATTGAGAGAAAAGCATTGTTCATCTTGCTTCTCAAGCCTTTCTTCACCGGCCGCCCAGAGAAGAGCTCTCCCTCCAATTTGCCCTTACCGAGTTCTCAAAGCTCGCTTCTTTACCCACGAAGCTTATCCCCAAGGTCAACGGCGATCCTCTTCTCGTGGCCACGCTGCGTGATTGCCTAACCCAGTTTGAAGACGCCATAGATCAACTCAACATGTCTATCTCGTCCATGCACCCTGGTGACCGGAGACTGCTGTAGGAGACGGTTCTGTGGATCCGATTGGTCATACATACCTTGTTGTATGATGGGTCGAGTAAAGCTAAAGACCCACTTGAGCACCGCTAGGATTTGTGTGCGTATGTTAGACTCCATTACAGTCGAGTAAAGCTAAAGATGCAATCCAGCTTTAAAGAATTGGTGATGGTGGTGGTCGGTTTTGAGGCCCAGTAAATTTAGACAACATTAATAGTGATTTTCTATATTAAAAGTTCAAGGACTTGAAGGGATAGTCCCTAACCGAGTAATCCAAGGAAACCATGTTTTTGTCTGAGACTCATCCATGAATCAGTCGGGTATGGCGTGATCATTAGAGATCAGAAGAGCACTCTACCAGTCAACAGACACAGAGCAAATGAAATTGAAGCCACTTTGTCTAAATAAAGAATCATTCTGAGCATCAAATGCGGCATACTGATTGCAGTCATCAAATGCATAAAGAATCATTCTGAGCGCTGCTCCACTCGGCCAATCTGTTGACCCGAACGACCTAATCTATCACCACCACACACATCGTCCAATCTGTTGAAGAGCTGTGAATGGGTTAGGTCTACTTGCAGCGGAGTGGCGGCCGCTGCAAGAACCACAGAACCGTGGTTTCTATTTGAACGGTTGAAAGAGTTGGTGCTATCTATTTGTTGGTTTTGATTCTTCAACAATAAGGTATGTATGACCAATCGGATCCACAGAACCGTCTCCTGTAGCAGTCTCCGGTCACCAGGGTGCATCCACGCCGGAAACTCATCAGAGTTAGACCCCGCATCCAATAGCTTCCGATGGATTGGAATATCGAGGTTCTTGAGAAGGGTCAGGATCTTGGACGCGATGTTTAAGCTATTACTTGTAAACTCGGTTGAGTTCTTCATTGCTACCCTCAACTCTTCAAGCACTATTGCAGCGGTGGTGTTGTTCAACTCTTGTAGCCCGTCTAAGCAGGACTGCTCGTTCGTGATTGCCGCATTGAGCCATGTCCTGAGGTCGCTAATCTTGGAAGCCGATAACAACTTCTCGCAGAGCTCGGTAAGGGCAGCTTAGAGGGAGAGCTTGAAGAGCTCTTCTGGATCTGTGGTTTTCTGGGCGGCCAGCGAAGAAAGGTTTGAGAAGCAGGAATTGGGGTGCTGTTTGGGAAGATAAACAGTGCTTTTCTCCGATCGAATATAGGGTAGTATGGGGATTGAAACTACGAATTTCAATGGAAAACTAACGGAAGGGGATTTTTGTCTCACGGTCATAGTACAGGGGGTCTTTTTCTCAAAACAAAGTGTAGGGGGTCTTTGTCATAGACCCCCATAGGACAGGAGGGTCTTTGTAATTTACCCTAATTTTTAATATTCTTTATCCTAATTAATTAAATAGTTTTATTATTTTTGTTCTTATATTTTTTCATTGTTTTTCTTACTTTTAATATTATACTAACAACCCCATTTAAAATATTTTTATTTCATTTTTTATGATTAAGCAAAAGAATGAATGATTTTTTGAGAAAATTAATGAAGTAGTTATTTTTTTTTTGCATTTTCAAGAAAAATAATGTTATTTTTATTATTATTTATTTATTGATGTCCATCATTTATACTTTAACGCCAAAGGCCCATTTTGGTTAGGAGAGAGAGAGAGAGAGAAGCAGTGTGGATTTTATTTTCAAAGATTTTCAATATTTTTATTTTATGTTTGGTTTGAAGGAAAAGGTAGGGACCTGCATTTTCCTTTAAACCAAAGATAACCTTAATGAAGACAGTTTATTTTTCTTTTTCTAACAAAATCTATTAAATAAACAACTTAAGTAACCAAAATTATGGTTATTGCTCTCTCTCCATATAATATGTTGTAAAAGAACATGACATTTAATATTGTAGCCCTAGCCAAATAAAATTGTTTATTTAAAGACTACTTTGCCTTCTCATTAGCCCCTTTAACGCAAGGGCCCCTACTAGTATCCATTATTATATAAAGTAAATATTTGTCTTCATAAAATTATCATTTTTTACATTAATTTAAAGAAAATTACATACCCTTGAAAGTAATCTATATATTTTGAATTCTTAACCTTATAAACCTATAGAAAAAGTTTTAAAACTTCTATCTTTATTTGTAACATTCTATAGCGAAAATCACATTCATCATGTATACATTAGCCTTTGGTTTATGTTAAATTTATAAAGATATAACAGAAAATTTCTATATAAGTGTGAAGTGTTCCTAAAGAGTCCATGGACTGTCAAAATCTGATGCCTGTCTGACATAGACACTTCATCCATATAGGGCAGTGGGTTTTATTTCTAAATTGTTTTGTTATCAGTTTTGAAGGATACTGATTTGGGTACATCCAGTTTTGATAAGCAGGCTACGTCCCTGGTGAAAAAGATTCTTGGGAAACTTGGCTCTTTTCTCAATACTTCTTCCGAAAGGAACAACACCAAGCACACTTTGGTCAATAGAAGTGCCTACTGCTGTTTATTTTGTCCCATTTTCTCTATGTCACTATATTGTCTCAAGTTATTATGAGGGCGCTTTGTCTTTTAAAACATGTAATTTTGAGTTTTGAGAACTAATAAATATATTTAACAAAGACACTTTGAGATACCTTGAAATTATTGCATATTCATTCTGTAAATGTTGAACCAGAGACTACTTGGGTGAACTTGGATTGGGAATTTGTTACATTTTGAATGGGCCCAAACCCTAATCTGGCCCGATGTAGGATTATGGTGCATTTTAAATATTTGTTACACATTATAATAAAATTTCAATCAATTATGTTAAAGATGTCATATACATGGTCTATTTACTTTTCATTGGTAGGGATGGTAATGGGGCAGGTCCCGAAAGGGTTTTGTAAATTCTAAATCCAATCCGCCTCCTTAAGGTTCCCAACCCCATACCCTCTCCAAAACTCTAGTGAGATGGACTTTGAGAATCCAAACCCTCCTTACACATGAAAATGCAAAAGCCTCCCTGACCTACCCTCCCTTCATTCAAGGGTAGGGTGGGTTGGTTTAGAACCCACATCTAATTTTTTGTTATTTCTTGTTATATATAAGTAATAAATAAGTAAAATAACATAAATAAACAATAAAATTTCCAATTATTTGATTAAGCCATGTAAAAAGCACATAAACTATTAATTGACTTTCACATAAAATTCAAAACATTATTAAATTCAACACCTAATACAAAACTCATATGCTTTCCAACAATATGTGAGTTGGGGAGGATTGGGTTTAGCCTAATATCGTACCAGACCCGCACCCGTATAGGCTGTAGAATCCCAAAACTCATCCTTTTAGCGAAAAATACCTGCCCTGACGGGGTGGGTACCAAATGGGTAGGATAGAAATTGCCATTCCTATTCATTAGTTCACATTTCAGAAGGCATGATTACCATTAAAGACTTTAACAAAGATTCAACTATGACTTGTCACTTTATCATTGATTGATAGTGCACAACATGGATTTTGCCTACCATAAAAGATTCAACATATATAGACTACAGTGCTTTTGTTTAGAATTTGCATAAATATTTAGAGGCACATCCCCTTTTATATGTGCTCAAATTACAACCCACAGAAGTGGTAAAATAATAGAAAATTAATCATCATTGCTGTCATCACCCAAACTTGTAAATAACCTCACGTCAATTCGACGACCAATAAATTTGGCAAGATGTATAAAATAAAAGCCATATCCAATGCTGGTCCTGGTCCCAACCTGTTTGGGGCCTTGGAGGCAGAGGGGTAGACTGAATGTGGACCCAACCTTTTCATATTTTCTTTTGCACAAAGTAGATACTCTCAGACTTCAACCCATGTTCTCACGCTTTATCAGCCTGAGATTAACCAACTGAATGGTGGCCAGTTGATATATTGGCTGAGTAGTCCCAGCAGATATGCAGATTCGAATCCCGCTATTACCACTTACCTCTGTGAATTGTTTATGTGTTGTGTTAAATATGGAAAAAAAAAATCAGCCTGAGATTTTACCATTACACCAGACACCAGATAATGGCCCCAAAGATGTATAACATCTGATTTTTTCCCTGTGCAATGTCCATGCCTCTTCGCTAAGTACAAATAAAACAAACAGCACACACACGCAGAGAGAGAGAGAGAGGTGTTCACAGAAATGGTAATAGTGTTCAAAGGGGGAGGGGGACACATACAAATCTGACTCTGACTCAAGACAGGGCAGACCCTTTCAATAGACATATACCCATAAACAATGAGAAACAGAGAAATGGGCGTTTAACACCAAAAACCAAATTCATATGGCCTTTACCTTGTTAAGAATCATACTTGTTGGTAATGCCTTCACCCCATAATTCCTGATTCAAGTGGGTCAAAACCAAGCATTAACTAGATGTACTTCTACCTAATCGGTGGTCCAATTTGTTCAATGTGTCAGTTGATATTGGTGGTTCAATATCAAGTTTCAATCCTTTACAGATAAAATCTTGGATTCTTAGAAAAGTCCATGCAACAGGCAAGGCTGGCTGGCTCATGGTATAATCTAGGGACCACTGGTCGACCAGTTGATATTGAAGCACGGATTACCACACGATGTAGCCATTACTTCTGGCTCTTGTGATGCTTATTTATATCCTCATTTCTTCTCTCAACATGGGAAAACACATGGACATGATAAGGTGACCAAAGAGACAGGAATTCATAAAAACAAAAGAAGAATTTTGATGGCTCTTTCATTCTTTCACTCTAGGAATCAAAGTCTATTTTCACTCATAAAAGGATCCTTCACTTTACATACATGCAGGGGACAAAGCAACCCAATCCTACCTTTCCTATAGGACTTGTGAGATATATGTTCCTATACATCTCTGCTGTTAAGAATCAACTTCTCTTCAATGACCAAGTCATATTTTGTATATTCTCAAAAAATGGATGAAACAACCAACTCCTTACAGTGAGCATGTTATGGAAACAATCCTGCACCATGGGATGGCGCGCCTAATCTCATAATACAGGCCACCATCAAAGAGATCAGTTTTCCTACAGTCTGTAAGCATCTCTTTATCCAGCTATGTCTTCTAGCTTGGGATGCCACAGGTTTGACTTGTGGCTATTGAAAGCAGCTCTTCTGCTGTCCATGTCACCAAGGCGAGGTTCCGAAGAGGGCCCATCATTTCATTACTCAATGGTGAGATCATGGAGATACATTCTGTAAAAATCAAAACAGAAAGACTGGTTGAGAGAGAATTGTTCACAAATGATGAGTCAAGACTGATGTTATGCAGTATAAAGTCTAGTGTATATTGATTATATTCATTATAGATTCCCATTAGGAGCTCTGAAGTCTGGCAACACAAATGATCAATCTCCAGTTATTCCAATCACAAAGTATCGTGTTCGAAATGGGAGTCGTTAACAGGGGAGTAATGTCTTGTGACTCTGTGATCACAAAGATCTTCAACATTGATTAGCATTTATTTCCTAAAGATGCTAAGGTTTGTGTAAACTATGTCATCACAGATATCTTAAACAAGACTGAGACTCTTGTGGTATGCCATACCTGAATTCTTAATGAGGCACAACAATGACAGGGAAGCAAGCACCCTCTCCTCAAGTGCTCTGTCATAGTTTAAAGTTTCTATCAACCGAGGCACTAGAATTGAACATGCTGTTGATTGGAGGCTTGAATCTTGAATTGAAGTGAGTGACCTGCTCAACCATGCAACTGTGATCAGGCTTGCCCGAGCCAAATATGGAATCCCATTGGCCATGCACTCTGAAAGAGCAACCAAGAATCTGTTTTTGCCACTAGTGAGCAAGACCGTTGCTGCCTTCCTAAGCCAATTTTGTATTGATTCTTCCTCTTCATTCTGTTAATTATCATAATCAAAGGAAAAAAGAATAAGTTAACAAGCTCAATTGGTTATACATGGGAGGAAGAATGAATTAAATGAGTTCATGTACAACTAACAGACTGGTGTAGATTATCCATTCTTCCAATAGTAAACAACTAAATGTTGTAGTTGTATGTGTATAATACTAGAAGCAGCAGCTTTAGTTGGATTATACGTAATCTGAAGACACTGAAACTTAACAACACTCCCACAACCATGATGTGCACAAACTTGATTAGCAGTAAAAAAGCAAAACAGTTGAAGGAAATTAATTATCCATTGGAAAGGTTTTTTGTACCAATTAATGGGAAACTAAATAGATCATTCTCACAAGTATTTGATCAAAACAGTTGAAGAGAATGATCAATCAGGATAAATTACCTGTATCAAGATTTCATCATAGACGATTTCCTTTCCATGGAATGAATCATCTGTGCTATCATCAAATCCTGCTTGCTTCAATAGCCATGTTTCTGTTGATGCCTCTCCCATGTAAGAGAAACGACCTCCCAGGAGTAAGAGAGACCTTGCTGACTGTTGTTGAACCTTCTCATTACATGTCTTACAATCCAAAGCTGTTATAATGGCATCCACTGCTTCTTCTCTATACACACTGTACTGGAAAGAATCTTCCTGCAAAACAACTGCTAGTCCATATGAAACTATTCCAAATTCTGGAAACGAGTTAGAAAGAAACAGAAACAAGTGAAAACAACAAGAAGGATGGATAGAGAAGACAGACAAAATAGAATGAGAAGAATACCAGAAGATCAAGCTGTAATAGAATGGCTGCAACCAATGAGCGCTGTTCAGGTGGAGCCCATTGAAGGTAAACCAACAATATGTGCATTGTATTCAATCTTTCCTCATTGTTCTTCAAACCATTTAAGAAACTGGTTATCTCAGTTCTTCTGCTCAGGTTCACACAGTCTCAGTTTGTTAAACCAAATATAAATTTCTGGAAAATATCCCGAAATTGTAAAGAAGAGTTACCTATTAAGACAGAGCAACTCGATCAGCAAAGAAAGGATACTCCCACTGGACCTGCTCCGGTTGCCCAGGATCAGGAGTTGAAGAATTGATGCCTTGTTTATGTTATTTGCTAGGTAGTTTCTACAGCTTCCATCAGCTTGAATGCAGGAGGTTATGATGGAAGCAGCACTCCGACTCTGGGGATCTCCTGTTTCAAGACTTCGAACCAGTAAGCTCAGACCCCCTAGAGCAACAACTTGTCTGGCATTTTCCAAATTGCCATCCTCGTTAAAACCTGTAAGAAGTTGGTCAAGCAAATAAAATGCTGCCACCTGAGGACTGCACTGAACACTGAACAAGGTCTGCAACTCGTCCCCAAATTCCACCACCCGGAGGACTAATGGGATCCATTCAATTGATAGCATCTGTTTTGCCTTGGGCTTCAATAGGTAAAGCAGCACAGAAGCCTTTAGAAATAGACTGTTACTCCTAAGAAGTCTCATGAGAACTTCAAGCTGTGGATCTGAGTTTAGTATTATCTGCCTGTTAACTTCACCCCTTGAAACCAGTTCTGCTAAAATTGAGATTGCTAACTCTAGAGTTTCTTCATCTTCAGATGTAAACAAGACCTCAAGCATCCCCTCAAGAACAGGTGCTTTTGAGAGCATGGTTTCAATTACAGGATCTGCATGTGAGTCAAGCCAAGCTTTCGCAACCACACGGATTGCAAGCTCACAGTCACTAAGGCTCTGTGAAGTGCAAATGGTTTTGATTGCTGCACCAAAGCTATTTGAAGGAAGATAGCTGGGTGATTCTTTTCTGATTGAATCATTCTTGGAAACATGAGCTCCTTGAACCAAGTTCTTTGCTGGTTCACTTCGGCATGGGAAGAACCTAAAATAGTCTGATTTCCGGGTCTCGGGCCACAACTCTGCTTTTGGGTTTCTACTTTGTTGGCTTATTGATCTTCTGTGAACCCCCTTTCCACTCTGTAATCCGTGTCAGAGAAATAAACAAATATCGTAAAAACACTGCATCTTGGTTGAAATCTTAAATTGTAGCTTGTCAATTTAGAGAGGGAAGAGGGAGTTTACCGAATGAACAGATCTGGTTCTATGGATGTTGTGTTCATCATTACACACTTTTACCTCTTCCTCTAAACTCCATGTATCATTTTCAAGCTCCAGTGATTGACGTTCATTGATGCGGCCAAAAACAGCTCGATATCTTTGGAGATTGAGATCACCATGAAATATAAGAATCACAGTTGAAAGAGAGATTAATTATACAATTAAAATAACTGGTCTGTGTTAAATCAACCAGAAAGAATAATGCCCAGATGAAAAGTAATAACTGAAAGAAGTTCTGAAACCATTTTGATTCACTTACAAGCTTTTATTCAGGGAAGCCTGTGAACCAAGAGAGGTTCCTCTCCTTTTTGCAGCTCCATAGCTGGGTCTTGATGGTAAAGACACAGAAGGCATTGGAGGAGCTTTAGCCCCAACCTTGAGCCACTCCTTGTAGTAAAGCGCAAACTGAGAGGTACCCATATCCATTTTCTCATTGTAGACCTTGATCAGAGCTTTCATCTTTCTCTCTTTCTCACCAGATTCCCAGTTCAAGATTAATTCTTCTTCCTTACTGTACCATATCTTGAGATGCAGAAAGTGGGGAAGAAAGAAATGCTCCCAAAGGTCAGGCAGTAAGTGGGTCCTGGCGAGAAATGGCGAGTCACAGAAAACCTGCAGTAGATGCCTCGCAGATATTCGGTCGTTCTTCTCAAGCTTATACACAATGGAGAGATATAGCTGTGCACAAGCTGAAAGATGCGAATTGGGTATTCCACAGGTGGTATCATTCTTGGAGTTGTGAGAATTCAAGGAGGCAACGATGCTCAGCAGCCGAATCGAATTCCTCAGAGACTTCATCTTCAGTTCCTTCTTCGTTCCGTGGTTCTCTGCCAATCTCTCAATGCTTTCAATACCCAATTCCATATTTGCGAGTATCGCATTATCTCCATCCTTGCTTCTTCCCTCCATACACGAATAGCACTTCTCTCGCACTCTCTCCCTGAAGCTCTCATCCTTGATGAACCGACCAATATAGCCGCCGAGAATCGAGACAACTGCGCGAACTGCGACTTCATCGACGATGGTCTCGCCGCTCTGTGGCGGAAGAGCTTCAGCCATGCATGACGACTTAGAATTGGATCTCTTTGAGTTAGAATCCACCCTTTTAGAAGATGAAACAGAGGACGCATTACGTACGAGGCTCTTCTGTGGTGTCTGCTTCGAAGAATCAAAGTTTTTTCGATCATGGCAGATGTAAGTGGGTAAGGCTATGGAGTCATCGGATGTAATTCTTTCTCTGGACTTCACGGGCTTTCGGTTCTTTGGAGTTTTCCCACCTTGGAATCCTTCCTCTGCGAGCAATTCCTGTAAAGATGCCATCTTTTGTGGATTGAATGAATCTGGATTTCAAGCAAAGAGGAGAAGATGAGAAGCTTCACAGACATTCTCTCAAATCAAAACAGAAAAAGAAACAACTAAAAAAGAAGGAAGAGATACAGACGAAGAAAGACAGCAAAATAAGGACAAGAAAGGCGGGTAATTATCCTATGCTTTTTAACCGTTAGCACCCGTTTTTTTCTCTTTTATTGTAAAAAAGAAAAAAAATAGAACCATACCGGCCGGTTCAACCTGGTCTGAGTGAAGACAGTTTACTGTTAGTAGACTTTTGATAAAGCCATTAAGACTCTGAAATCAAATAAATGGTTGGTTTTATACTTTATAGTTGAAAATAAACTTTAGGTAAATTACAGATGTCCACCCTGTATTAGGGGGTATTGATACTTAGTCCTCCAAACTTTGTTGTGTAACAAAACCCCCTTTGAATTTCTAGATTCCAGCACTTTTCCCCTACCACCATTAGGATTGCATCAGTTACTCCACAGAATATTTTTTAACATTTTTAAAACTCCAAATAAGACCGTTTTCCCCTTTAATTAAATTAATTTTTCTAAAATCCCAATTCTCACATATTTCTCTCATCTTTCTTTTAACAAAGATCATCTTGAGAACATATATGGAGGGAGAATGATCAGTTTATAAAAAAAATGGTTTGTACTTTAAAATGGTTATTTTCATCATTTTGATATTTATTGCTACTAGTAAACATATACATGCATTTTCATGAGACAATATCTCTAAGACAACTATTTATAGTTCATGGACAGTTTCTGAGTAGTTATAACTGGACAGTTTTTAAAGTGAGAGTAAAGGACATATATACCCTCTTTATGTCCATTATATGCTTAGACAAAGGGGATAAAAAGCGTCCAATAAAAATTCCAGAAACAAGGGGCTTTCGCTCTTTATAGGGGATAAAAAACGTCCAATAAAAATCTCAAGTGGATAATTCAAGGTGATGTTTGGCATTGATGTTGCCGATTTTCAAAATCAGTGATTTTTTTTTTTCAAAAATCGATAAATTTTGTTATTTGGTATCATTTCTGCCATGTAGTTCTATTTTTGAGAAATCGACTTTGAGTATGCTTGGTGTTGATTCTCAAGGGTCAATTATTTTTGCATTTGAGTTATTATTCAAGGGGCATTCTTTTTTCAGATTTTGAGAGGGGAGAAAGTTGGTCAATGGGATTTTGGTTCCCATTGAACAAGAATCCCATGTTCTTTTTTCAAATTTATGTGGGGACCAGGTAAAGTTTATTTTCCTGGGTATCACTTACCCCTGGGAAATAACTTTCCCACCTAGGGGAAATTGCCAACACTTGAATGAGACAAAATATCCCTTCTAATAATGGATTTTTATGACCAAAATGGTCATTGTCTTATTTACATGAAAAATAAAAGAACATGGATAAGTGTTTACCAGAATCGATTTTTGGCCAATTTCTTGAAAATTACCAAAATTGGGCAACCAAACAGAAATTTCAGCGCTGGTTTCTAGAGCTGACGTGGCTTCAACATGGCTGTGATTTTACCGTTAACCTTGTTAGCAAGTCAGGGGGCAGAGTGCTGGAGTATAGAAACTAGAGGGGACCATTATTGTAAAACAATGTTCCAGGGGTCTAAGTGTTACTTCCCACTAAGTACATAGTAGCTATATGTAATTTAGCCTAAAATTTATTATTTAGTCTTAGAGACTGTGAACATGTGCTTTGCTTAGCTGATTAAGGGACCCACTTATGAGCTAATCAAAATTCAGGAATCTTTTTATTTCCAAAAAATAATATTAAAATAGGGAAAAGCATTAGGTACATGGACAGGTGGACAACCTCTACATATTTGATCCCACGTGGCCTGGAATGAATGAGATGTAATCTCTGATCATCACAAGAGGCACAACCCTTGTCTGAGACCCACTTATCAGCCAATCAAATTTCATGGACCTTGATGTATGGAGCATATCTACCTTTCCATCACACACTAATTATTTCTCAACTAGTCTCTTAAGTTGGTGGATTAAATAGTTGTCTGGTGTTATAGATCCGTGGGCTGAGGGGACCAATCAGCTTTTTGGAGTGAATCCAAACATGGGTAGTGGGTATTTTCAATGTTAATGGGCCACTGAGTGCTTAACCGTTTGCGGGTCGATGCTTCACGTGCATGGCTTGGCTCATTTTTTATATGTGGGTTGCTGCATTATTCCTGAAGGGATGGGGCCTATATGTTTCCAAATCCGGGTCGGCCGAGTTGAAATACCCAATTTAAATGGCTTAACATACAACTAACGTTAAACAAGATAATAAGGATGAAGGTTTGGTTGTGTTAACCTTAAACGAGATCAAGGTTTGAGTTGGGGTTTCATGGGCCATTCGGGTCGGGTCGGGTCGACAAGTTAGATCTTAATTGTATGTCAAATTCCATTAGCATGAGAATCACTCAACCCCATTTCAACTTGACTTCTAGATCGTGCCAAAAAAGAGCATATGGCCAATTTTTTGTTCAATAAACTGGTTTTAATTTTCAATTTCGAGGGAAGAAATCAGACTACAATGCAAATAGCTTGAATCCAACTTTTCTAATCAACGGTGTCTTTCTTTGTTGATGGCATCAGCCTGCTTCATTAATTCCTTGCAATTCTATCAGTTTGATAAATAATCTCTTTGAACAGAATTGATGTATTTGGTTTATTGTGATCATCAATCTCAGCTCAGTTGAGTTCAAATCAGCCCCAGTACATCCCGTGTATTGGGAACATCTCCCGATGATAATCATTTCTGATATTATCATTGAGAGATATTTCCAATACATGACAGGAATGTGCTGTGAAGAGTTGTGGGGGACAATCTTGTGGAGGGCTGATTGGATATCAGCTCAGCTTAGTCAAAAAAAGGAAAAAGATTTGGATTCACAGACCTTCACATTAATGTACAATTCTCATTGTACCAGCCTTCTTATTCACGGGCCTCCTTGTTTGAATAGTTTAAATTAACAAGCAATTGGTAGATAATTGTTTTCTTCTGAACTGTACAAATGAGCTTCCAACCGTTCAGAAATGTCACAATTCCCTATATGGGATTAAATTATCCGATTAATCTGCTTTTATATCTTTTTTCTTTGTTTGCATTTAGAACATTTCTGAAATGGGTTCTGAAGACTTTAGTAGGAATTGATTCCTTAAAACTGTTATGCAGAGATGTATGGAGATTTCTATGTGTTTTCTGTTAAGTTTTTCTTTCTTTTTTTTTGCATATTATTGACATTGATGAATTGCTTCCAACTCAAAAGCAATCTTAAAAATTGCACCTTTCAATTCTTGGAAGCCATCTCCCTCAGCTTGGAGAATTGCCCTTAGGCCAGGTTTGTATGCAGTGTAATTTTATTTGTATTGGCGTAAAAGTATGGGAGTGCAAATGATTTGAGTGCATGGAAATTCTGTTTTTCTTTTTGTCATTTCCTTTATTTTGTTTGTTTGCGTTCTATATAAAGTAAAATAAAATCCGAAGCAAAATAAGACAAAACCCAATATGAAGGTGAATAAAAAATTTTCATTTACATTCCCATGCATTTGAGCTAGTGCAAATAAAATTACACAACAAACAAATGAAGAATCATTTCTCTATTGGTTTTTAAAGAATTTGTCAAATCGGTTAGTGAAGGAAGATGAGAAAGAAAAATCGACAGATCAAATTTTCTTGTCAAGCATACACCACCTAAGCACTTGGAATTGATAAAGATATGCAGATATGATATGACAAGAAAAAGTTCTGAATGGTTGGTAATAGGAGCCAAGACCTAATATATGTTCTCTAAAGTCTGAACACAAAATTAAAGTCAAATTTATCAAATTAAGTGTTGCATTAGCAAGGAGGCAGCAAAAGTGAACTCTAGGTTACAAAATATAAATTGACTTGTCACTTTAATCATTTTTTAGTACTTTTTAATTGATCCTCTCTCACTCTCTCTCTCTCTCTCCTTGAAATTGGAAAACCTCATCAGGCAGCATATCTTGGAGTGTTAAACATAAAATATTTTGATTTAGATTTGGTGATCAAACCGAGCACACAGCCCTTGCCACAAGATAAAAGGTACAATAAAAGTTGACAATTAGGTTTTTTTTTTTTATTTTTTAAATAAATTCTCTTTTTTTTCAAAAATGGGATGTCATGTGACCCCCAAAAATTAAAGATTTGAAGAAAAAAGAGTAAATTTGTCAAAATTTGGAGCTAAGAACAGTGGAAGTTTATATAAAATCAAACAGAAGAGTCAAGACCCTGTGGCTAATATGAAAGACTTATTGCTTTGTCCTCTGATGATGAATGAGTTTTTAAGGAGGTACTGAACTCCTTAATAGGCTGAAACTGAAGTTGGATTGATTACCGTGTATGTGACCTCAATTATTTTATTAGTCATTTACAAAAACACCCCCTATAGTTTCATGGATTTACTAAAATCTGTTCTATATAATTTGTGTTTTACTAAAACAACCCCTATAATTTGTAATCTATTCACTCAATTAATTGACCTTCCTTTAGATGATAATGGAAAATGATGGTTTTGATCCTAAATCCATTTGAGTAAATTTGATAAAAAGAAAATTAAAAATGAAAATACCAATTTTCCCCTAATAAGACACGAGCAACTACTCTATTTGACACTATTTGGTCAATTTTGTTTTCTATAATGAAAAAGTTTTGGAAGTACTTTTGGAATAAACAATCATAAGCCCCATGCATGTTCTTGAACATTTTTCATTCAGTTTTGGTGATCATATTACTATTTTTTTTATAACAAAACAAACACTTTTTAGTGAAAAATCGATTAAATAAATAGATTGTAAACTATCAGGGGTGTTTTAGTAAAATAAAAACTATAGGATAAGTTTAAGTAAATCCATCAAACTATAAAAAAACATAAATCAAGAAGTCATTCTATCCAGCCACTTCAGCTTAAAAGGATGAAACTTTATGAAACAACAGTATGATTAGTCTAAAATACTCCACAAATCAGATTATCAAAAGTTATCAGATAAAAGCTGATTTTCGGTAGATGGGACCCATGAGATGGTGGGTCCTGGT